GGGATTATATTCATCGTTTAGGAAGTGGCAGCGACTTAGTATTCGGCACACGCCTTCCTACCGGTATAAATACCGCGCAAGGTGAATTCTCTGTGTGTATCGCGCGCCTTGCGGGGGGGGCGCGGAAAAGAGGAACCTCTCTCTTTCTGATCCCGCCCTACAGTACAAGGCTGGCTAGCTAGGAACCGGGGAAGGCCAGGCGCAGGCGCCGCCAGCTGGTCTGTCGCCGCGCCCGACGTCGCGCCCTAACACCGACCGTGCGCCTGATCGGCGAGGCTGTTGTTGCGCGGTGCAAGTGTGCCAGGTGTGCTGTCCGGCCCGAGGCAGAGGATGGCGGCTGCACGCTGCCGCTTCCGCAGCCACAGCGCGGCCGCGGCGGCGGAGCTAGCTAGGGGCGCCCTAAACCGGGTCTAAACCTGGTATGGCTAATGGGGTCCCCCACCCAGGCCGAGCCCTGTTTAGACCCAGTTTATCGTAAACAGGACTAATCTGGTTCGTGTTCAGCCGTGGTCTAAACTGGGTCTAAACATGGTCTAAACTGGTTCGCTTGATACCCTCATCCAAGAGCGGGGCCGAAGCCGCACCCTGAGCCTGTAGATTGTGTCGAGAGGAGCAGGCTGCTTCGCCGCTGTTCGACTGCTGCGGCGCACGCCTGACTCCTCTGACATGGCGGGTGCCCGTCCGTTTCGCGTCTCGCCGAATACGAAAAACTCGCTGGAAGAATTTAACCAACAGAAGAATTCAACAAAACAACGCTCTCGCACAGCACACAGGTTCGACACAGGAAGAATTTTACAACAAAACTCCCCGCTGGAAGAAGCTTCAAGCGGTTTACGTGGCAAGAAACGCGCGGCGAGACAGCGGGTCTAATCATGGCACCAGCTGTATTCACAGCCAGGTTCTGTGTGTCTTGTGAGCCTGTTTGTGTCTGTGTGTCGCTCGTGCGTGTCGTCATCATCTGTCTAGCGTCCACCCATACCGCGTTGGTGTCCAGTCCGAGCCTGGCTGTTCTTCACCTTTCTACCTATCTACCTACCTAGGTTCTCGAGTTGGATATCCTTTGCGCTTTGGCCGCGTTGGGTAGCGAGGATACACAGGCAAACCACCGGACCGGAGCCGGCTAAGCGACTCCGTTGAGAACGGCAATGCACTTAGCCGTGCACAATGCCGCTCTCAAGAACGATGTATGTATGTATGTAGAAAGATGAACAAGAGAACAACAGTCAGGCTCGGACTGGACACCAACGACCGAGATTCGCTGCCGCCTCCTAATTCTTGCTTGGTGGTCCAACGTCCAAGTCACCTCGTCGAGGTACTGGGCCCCACCACCGGAACTCCACCACCACCCACCGCGCCAACCCACGCCACCCCACCTCTCGCGAGGCTTCTCGGCGTGGCGCAGAGGCCTTTGCGCACCACATCACGCGGAGAAGGGCGTGTCCTCGAGGAGGCTGCGCTGGCCAGCGAGGCGCTGGCCGGTGGCGGCGGGCGACCTGCCCGTGGCGGGGCAGCCCAGAGGGGCGGGGCGACCCTCGCCTGCCGCGAACGGCGCAGCCTCAAAGGTGGTCATGACGCCGAAGTGGTCCGACAGCCAGTGGCCCTGTGGCGGGTGTTGCGTCAGCCATCAGGCGGGAAGGGCCGAGGATAGGCCGGGAGCCGGGGGCTGAGGGCAAGCTGAGGCCGTCGAGGGCGCGAGGGTGGATACGAGCATACGTGGTGGCACAGAGCGTCTGGCGTGTAAAATAGTGGTGGTAGTAGTAGTAGTAGTGAGTAATCGCCTGCTCCGGCTCGTCGAGCGCGAGGCGCGACTCGAGAGGCGTGAGGCGCGACGCCTGGGCGGGTTGTGTCGCGGACATGTCAGGGACGCGCGCCGAGCCGCACCCCGGGCACGATGGGAAGGAGTCGACCTCGCCGCAGAAGATGTAGTCGAGACGCGTGGCGGCGCCGTCGCCCGGCGAAAGCCAGCCCTCCCTCACTAGCGGGTTGCGGGTGCCTGAAGCGAGGGAATGGTGGTGCCCGTTCGAACGGGGTACACCAACGGCGGCACGCGCGTCCTACGAGACAGTGGCCATCTACCTCGGCCACACTCGGCTGCATCTCGGCAATAAGCTCGCGCGCCGTCCCACGAGTGGCCCGGCCCGCCTGACGGCCTCCACGCGTCGACGAACCCGAAGCGGGAGGCGAGCGGCGCCCACTCACCGAGCTCGGGCGAGCTGTTCAGGTCGCCGCAAAGGAGCGCGCGCGCGCCGCGCGCCCCCGCCAGCCGGCTCGCCTCGAGGAAGAGCTGCTGAAGCTGCGTCTTGCGGTGCACAGAGGTGCAAGGGATGGAGCTGATGCCTGCGCCCGAGAGGAGCCGCGAGAGGTCGAAGAGTTGGTCCCCGCTCTCCGCGTTGGCGTGCGTGTTGACGACGAGGAGCCGAGAGCCGTCGCCCCGGAGCCGCAGCGGGACGGCGAGGGCGCCGCGAGGCCGGAAACGGTTGAGCAGGTCGCCCGCCTGGTCCTCAAAGGGGAAGGCGGTCGCGAGGCCGTCCCGCTCCAGCGTCGCCCGCTTGTGCAGGATCATCAGGCCAGACTGGACCGAGCCGAGCAGGAAGCCGCCGATCGTGGTCTGCGGGCCGACATGGTCGAGCGCCAGCCGCATCATGCGCCCGGCGCGGCAGCGGAACTCGTCGGCAGTGAGCACGAAGGATGCGTCGTACATGTCGGAGAGCGCGTGCGCGTACCGCTCCCGCACGCCGTCCGAGACGACCTCCTGAAGGCAGATGACGTCTGGCGCCAGCTCCCGCAGCTTGCTGATCTGGCCAGCCAGCCGCGCCGAGCCGTCGAGCGTGCCAGCCAGCGGCGTCGGGGTGGGAGGGCCGCAAAAGACGTTGTAGGTGAGGACGGACAGGCGTGGCGCCGGAGCCGACGCGGCGAGGAGGCGGAAGATGGCCATGGCTGGGCAGGTGCGGCAGGGAGCAGGTGCGGCAGGCAGTCGCAAGCCAGACGAGCAGGTGGAGACCGCACCTCGAACTCCGGCAAGGGCCGCGGCGAGGAGGGTTGGACGATGATGTCACGTGTCGGATGCGATTCCGTTTTGCTTCTCCAGGCTGAACGAGAGCGAGGTGTCCAGGGAAACACAAGTCCTCCGACCCGGTCCCACATGGCGCAACGACGCGATCAACCCGCTCTCATCACTACTGCATAGCTTAGCGGATTTCACTCGACTAATTCCGACAGTTAGAAACTGCCCGGGGGCCACGTGGCCACCTTCTGATCCCGCCAAGCTAGGATCCCTACAAGACGCTGGCCGCGCCCTCCCGACACGTACATGTCGCGCCGACGCCTGGCTGCGTCTGGCCCTCGCACGTTCACGAGCGCGTGGCTCAGCTGGCGCCCGCGCGTCTGCCTCTTTCACGGGTTCCTATCCGCCGACGAGGCCGCGGCGCTCATCGCTCTGGCCGACCGGCAAGAGGCGTGCGCTACCCACAGCGCCGGCGCGGCACGCACGAGCAGCGGGTGCTGGTTGCCGCGCTGCGACGCGCCCGCACATCTTTGGCGCAGTGCCGACGAGCGACTGCTCGTCACGTCGGTGGAGGAGCGAATCTCACACGCGACCGGCATTCCTCTCCCTCACGGCGAGCCCAGCCAGATCTTGCGCTACGCCCGTGGGCAGCGATACACGCTCCACCCCGACTTCTTCGACCCAGAGGACGCGTGCGAGCTTGCAAACGGCGGCAACCGGCAGGCCACGATGCTCATCTACCTGAGCTCGCTCGCGCATGCGGATGGCGGCGCGACGCACTTTCCTAGGGCCGAGCTGCGCGTGCAGCCGCGGTGCGGCGACGCACTGCTCTGGTGGAACACGCGCTGCGACGGCCGCGTCGACCCAAGTAGCGCGCACGCAGGCGAGGTGGTGCTGTCGTCCACGAGCAAGTGGGTGCTGTCCAAGTGGCTGCGTCAACGGCCCTTCCAGGTGGACTTTGGCAGCTGGAACGAGCCCGGGCGTCGGCGCGCACGCCGACGCCGCGAGCCAAGCAGAGCTTAGTGGCCCCATCGTTGTTGTGTAGACCGTCCATATGTTGTAGATAGGGCTGTTGGGGGCCGTGTCCGTGACGAGACGGTCGTGCGTTCACGTCAGGTGTCATGCACAGAGGTCCCTCACAGCTCACAGCTCACACGTCACACTGCAAAACGACACGCGTGCCACATATGTCACAAAAGTATCGGCCCCGCCGCGGCTCACTCTTGTCCAGTGGCACGAGGACTCACTTTTGACTTTAGGGACCACTGCCGGGGACGCTCACTCGTCTTCTCAGACCACAGACGTCACTGACTGTGACACTCTGCAGAACGACACTGGGTTCGAGTCTTCGAGAGATTGTGCGAGAGATTGTGTGACTGTACTGGGGGGAGACGAAAATTGGAATATACAACCGATAGAGAGACGAAACGACGGAGGGGGGCGTGTATGGCGCGCGGCGACACCCGCGGGGCAGCGTCAATGAAACCGACTTTCCTGCCGCGCAGCACATACCGCGCCGCTCCCGCTCGCACCTAGGACTAGGGCAGACTAGGAAGCCGGGCCAAGCGCAACGCCTCGGGGGCCGGGGCTCTGCCTAGGCTCACATGACACAGACCACACACGGACGGCGACGGGAGAAGGTGAAGGAGACGGGGGGGGGGGGGTTCAGCCCAGACAACCACAAACATATTTCGCCTCCTCGCGGTAGGAAAGGGGACGGGAAGTTCTGCGGACGGGGCGGGGTCTATTTAAAGGGACGAGAGCGTCGTCCCCCAGAACCGCGGGCTCATGATCCCCCCCCCCAA